AGTCTTGAGTCTGCAGCAGGACAGACTTTTATTGAGGAAACGGGCCAGATGATTAGAGTCACTGCAATTTTCAGGCAAGTCTGCTAGGCACAGTCCTCCTTAAAGAAGGATGGATAGTTCTCAGCAAAGAAAAGAGGGGTCATTCTTCTGGACCCCGGGGAAGATCCTGGAGAAGAGGTAGCTGGAGCGCCAGAGTCCAGCCCATGTGCACGGCCAGCTCCACTGGCAGGCAGGGTGGTACCCTGCTGGCAGGCAGGCGCTGGTGCCCAGCGCAGATGGCACCCCTGGCCCTTGGACAACGCAGACCAGAGGTCAAAGAAAGACCGGGCGCTGCTGGTGGTCACGACTGGTAGGTCTGTGTCAGGCTGGTCCCAGGCCTTCTGTTCCGGCCGGAGAGTGGACACCTCCCTCTGGACTGTAGCGCACAGGGCCACGGCGCAGCCGGGGCTCCTCCTCTTCATACCAGCGCTGCTCGCTGAAGTCAGGGAAGAAGGCTGCAATCTCTCTGCTGGCGGAGACCACAGAGTCTGGAAGGCAGGTAAGACAGAGAAGGGGTTAGACAGGGAGTGCAGGGTAGAGGTCAGAGGTGGTCAGGGCCAGGCTCAGAGACCCGAGCGTCCCCCTGTCCTGCCTGTCCCTTCAGCCCCAGGTGGGTTAAATCCGCAGGCCACACCTGCAGACGGAAAGCGCAGAACCTGGCGGAAAGCAAGCTCGCTGGCGACTCCTAGCGGTCAGCTACCACACAGCCCGCCCGCCCGCCCACCTGAACCGTGGGTGGTGTTGCGGGTGTCGGTGAGGCCCAAACTCCCACGAATGGACTCGGGGGCCACGTAGCGTGCTCGAAACACTCTGGTGGGTCCCATCAGCGTCCTCCAGAGCTGGATGGCATCCTGGTGGGCGAGGATGTAGGCTCGGATAGGCCCGCTGTGAACGAGAGGGGCAGGCGTGGAGACCGTGGCCAGCCAAAGGTCCGTCATACCTGCTGGGAGTTTCCTTGCCTCTCTCGCTGGGACCAGTGCTGGCCGTGCGAGGGGAACGGGGACACTGTGGACACGCACTGTGGCTGGGGCCAGCGCTGGCTGTGCGAGGGGAACGGAGCCACTGTGGAGCCACTCTGAGACCAGTGCTGGCTGTGCGAGGGGAGGTGGGCTGAGGACACATGGAGGCTGGAGATGGGTTGCACCTTCAGCCACAGCCCGGGGCCACCTGGGACAGATGCCCGACAGATGCCCGGTCAGCACCAGCTCAGGCAGGGCCCCCGCTCACATTTCCTCACTTCCCACTGATTGCAGCCTTAAAGAGTGTAAGGTGAAGGGCCGGCAGGTGGCGAGTTGGTTAAGGCAGCTGGACTCCCACATGGCTGACCACAGTTTGAGTCCTGGACCTGGCAGCTTGCTTTCTCACTTTCTTTCTCTCTCTCTGGTCAACTTAAAAAAAAGAAAAAGAGAGTGACAATGAATAAAATTCAGTAAAATAATTATATAAAAAAAGAGTGGAAGGTGAGATAATAAACCCAATGGGGTGGGGGCAGCAGGTGGCATGGTGGTTAAGGTGCTGGACTCCCACAAGTCAACTATGGTTCGAGTCCCAGACCTTGGGGCTTGTTTTCTCACTTTCTCTCTCTCTCTCTGATCGAACTGGAAAACAATAATAATAAATAAAGTTAAATAAAAATTCTAAAACACAAAGTTTATGAAAACAAAACAAAATAAACCCAATTAGGGGATGCTTCAGTGGATAATGGTGCCGAAACCCAAAGGAGAAATACCTGGCCATGAACTCCACCAGCCGCTGGTAGAAAAATCGACCTGCAGAGAGAGAGCACCTTAATCAAGACTCTGCCCGGGAGGACTTTTCAACCTCTACCTCCTCTCGGAAGGACAGACACTGATCGGGAGAACAGAACGAGGACCTGGGAGTCTGTCACACGGGGTCTCACCCTGGCTCTGTGGCTCAACCTGTGTCACTGTGGGTACGTCACCAGTCTCCTGGCTCTGCTTCCGAATCGCCCGGGGACGCCACAACCCTGCCTCTCAGTGAAACAGCACGGGGCAGCGTCTGACAGGGTCAACAGTCACTAAATGTTAACTTTCGGTATTATTTGTTTTTCTTTTTTAAAAAAATGTTGCCAGAGGGCATGTGCACTTGCAGGGGTGGGGGAGAAAGTGAGAAAGACCCCCCCATGGGGCCTGGTCACACCATAACCCATCCCCACTTCTCCCTCCTTTAAGAATTTTGGGTAGGCACATGCACGCACACACACCTGGTGTGCAGTGTGCTTTTCAAGCCGCTGGGACCAGGACTCAAATGCACAACTGGCCATGTGGGACCCACTGGCTGGCCCTACTGGTGTCATCATCAGGACCCAAAATAAAGTTTCTGGTTGGGACTGTGAGGTGGAACCCTTCTGGGGGGAGGGAGACTATTAGTCATGAAGTTTGTCTACCAAACAAGATTTTCTTTCTTTCTTTCTTTCTTTTTTTTTTTTTGAGACGTTTTTGCTATCGGGCATGTGCACTCGCCAGAAAGATAGACAGAGAGAGAGAGAGAGAGAGAGTAAGTGAAAAATCACCCCCAGGGGGATGGCCACGCTGCAATCCCTTCTCCTCCATTCTCCTCTCGGGATCTTGGGATACACGCGCGCACACCTGGCGTGCGTTTAAGCCACCGAGTCTGGGACTCGCACTGCGGCGACTACATGGGAGTTCCAGCAACATAGCCATTACGCCAACTGCTTGTCCCCCAAGATTTTTAAAAATATATAATTATTATATTTAATTTTGTTTATTTAAATTTGACCAGAGAGGGACAGAATGAGAAAGAGAGAGGGAGAAAGCAAGAAAGCAAGCTGCCAGGTCTAGGACTTGAACCACGGTCACATGGGAGTCCAGTGCCCCTAACCACCATGCACCTGCCAGCCCCTCAAACAGATTATAAACCATGGCTGCAATATTACACAGTTGGTAGGTCGGAGAACCTGCCTTTGTATGTTCCAGAGAAAATCCTTTCTTTAAGGTTTTTGTCAAAGGGTGCATGTGCTCCCCAGAGAGAGGGAACGTGAGAAATCACCCCCCAGGGGAGATGGCCACACCACAATCCCTTCTCCTCCAGTCTCCTCTTGGGATTTGGGGCACAAACACACGTGCCTGGCATGATTTTCAAAAGCCGCCAGGTCTGGGGAACCAGCAGTTAGCGTAATGGCTATGTCGCTGGACTCCCACGTAGTCGACCACGGTTCGCGTCCCGGACCCGGTGGCTTAAAACTCACACCGGGTGCGTGTGCATGCGTGCCCAAGATCCCGAGAGAATAGAGGAGAAGGGATTGCGGCATGACCATCCCCCCTGGGGGGTGATCTCTCGCTTTCTGTCTCTATGTCTCTCTCTGTCTGTCTGGCGAGTGCACGCGCCCTATAGCGAAAATCTCTCAAAAAAAAAAAGCTGCCAGGTCTGGGACTCGAACTACATCAGCCATGGGAGTCCAGTACACGACCTGCTGGCCTTGGGAAAATCTGGGCTGAGGCGCCTACCTTCATGCTCTTGGTAAAACCTCCGGCAGTCTTCCTTTCTCCACAGCAGCTCCCTCACTCGTACGATAAGGAACTTGTTGCTCAGGATCTGCTGATGAACAGCCTGGAAAAATGCCACCCCAAAGGGACCAGCAGTTAGCGTAATGGCTATGTCGCTGGACTCCCATGTGGTCGACTGTGGTTCAAATCCCAGACCCAGTGGCTTAAACTCACGGCCGGCGCATGCATACGTGCCCAAGATCCCGAGAGGAGAATGGAGGGGAAGGGATTGCAGTGTGGCCATCCCTCCTGAGGGGTGATTTTCGCTTTCTGTCTCTCTGTCTCTGTCTGGTGAGCACACGTGCCTTATAGCAAAAAACAACAACAACAACAACAAAAAAAACAACACAAAGAATCAAACCAAAACGAAACAAAAACTCTCCAAAGAAAAAAAAGAAGAAAAATGCCACCCCAAAGACAAAAATCAGTCGGGAGTCACAGGCTGACTGAAAGGAACCAGGGGGCCCCTCACTCAGGACACTGGTGGGTGGGAAGAGGAAGAAGGTGGGTGAGCTCAGTATGCAGCCAGTGTAGGCCTTGGGGGCAGGGAGAGGGAGTGCCGGCTCTGAGCCTCAGTCCCTGCAGCCCCTGAGCTCAGACCCACAGAGCTGCCACCCGGACCACAAGAGGCTTTTCTTAGTGGTGCCACCTCGAGTTTCTCTCTCCAACCATCCGGCTTGGATAAACACTCAGACTTCCTGTGGCCAGAACCCTAAAGGGACCCCTACCCACTCGAGGTCCCCATCCTAATCCCCAGGCCTGTGAACGCGACACAGTACAATCATGTCACATTACAGGGCACAGGAACTTTGCAGATGTGATGAAGTTTACTAATCAGTTGACCTTGCTTTAATCACAGGGCAGATTATCCAGGTGGGCCTAGTTAATCACAAGGGCCCTTTAAAAAGTTGTTTTCTCTGGCTAGGGGCTGAAGGAGAAGTTAGAGGTGGGTGCTGTGGTCAACATGGAAGGGGCCACCTGATGGGGGATGGGAATGGTCTCTACAAACCAAGAGCACTTCCTGCCTGGGGTCCTCAGTCCTGGCCACAGGGACTGCAGTCTGCCACCAGGAAGGGGCCTGGGGATGGGTTCTCCCCAAACCCCATGTGAGGACCCAGTTAGACGATACCCCGACTCTGACCTTGTGAGATGCAGAGGAGGTCCAGCTAATCCTATGGGACCTGGAAACTGTAGAATTGTGTGAGATAATGTTTACACTTCTTGTTTTTCAAAGAATTATTTATTTGTTATTATTATTATATTTATTTGACTAGAGAGAGAAAGAGAAAGGAGAAGTGAGACAGTGCGCTGGGTCTGGGGCTGGAACTGTGGTTGCCCATGTGGGATTCCAGTGCCTTAACCACCATACCATCTGCCGGCCCCCCTCGTTCTCCTTTTAAAGTTCTTTTACTATACGGCAGATGCATGTGTGGAGACAGAATGAGAGAGAGAAAGTGAGAAATCACTCCCGGGGGGATGGCCACGCCACAATCCCTTCTCCTCCATTCTACTCTTGGGATTTGGGGCGGACACACACACACACACACGCCTGGCACAATTTTCAAGCCACTGGGTCAGGGACTCGAACCATTAAGTCAGACATGTGAGATCCAGCCGCCTTAACCTCCATGGCGCCTGCTGGCCCAATGATTGCTGTTTAAAGCTGTCAAGTTTGTGGAAATTTGTTATGTAGCAGTAGATTAATGTGTACATGGGGGACCAGCAGGTGGCTTGATGGTTAAGGCGCTGGACACTCCCACGTTGTTGACCATGGTTCGAGCCCCAGATCTGGCGGCTTGCTTTCTCACTTTCTCTCTGATCAAATTAAAAAAAAAAAAAGAATAAAAAAAATTAAATAATTATTTTTAAAAATATGTGTGCACACATTCCTGACTTGGTTCTTTTTCTTCCTGTACTGAGTCCTCTCTTACATTTTATTTCTGCCCCAAGTGTCCAGTAGATTTTCAGTCTCCTGGGGTCAGAGTCCAGGGCTCCTAGCTTTGCCTCCATAGCATCTAGACAGGACTGTGGTGTCAGCTGCCACAAGCGGCCCTCTAGCACCTGCAAGTCGCAATGCCCAGGGCATGAGGTAGAGGCCTAGGTTCATTCTTACCTCCAGGATCAGCGGATGAGCAACTGCATCAGGCTTGATCAGGGCTAGAGTGAGCTGGAGAGCCTGAGGGCTTCGCAGGATCGAGGCCATCTCCCTCCTGCCACCAGAGAGCTGCATTAGGGACCCATCGGTACTGCACCCCTGGCCCTCCTGCCTGGAGCTGGGCAGCCTCACAGGCCAACCAGTGCCCTCGCTCCTGACAGTCCCATCATAAAGCCAGTTATTTTATGTAACTGCCCCTTTGGGCTCACAGATTGAGGAAGGAGCAGCAGAGAGGGGCATTCAAAGTGCCCAGTGAAGTGGACCCTCTGGTTTGTGCAATTGCAAACCTCCGAGAGAGTTACCCATCCAAGGAAAATGCCAGTTTAGACAGCACATGCTCCTGCCAATACTCTCTTTATATACACACATATACGTATAGATATTGATTATATAGGTATAGATACGATTATTATCTTTTGCATTTTACAGAGGATTTACCATTTATACTCCTAAAGAGCCAGGCCACAAGGGGACACTGATTGCTTCCTTTAAGGCCCTCTGTCCCTGGTACTCACCTATCAATTCTACATTTGGAGGACTGAGGGACACCACTTGGAGGTGACCAGGACATCAGGTCTGCTGGGTACGCACCATCTCTTACCTAATATCACGGTGAGGTCAGATCCCCTGCCCGGATCAAAACCCTTAACCCACTCAGCTGTCCTCAGTGGCCAGGCAAGTCCACACTATTTTGTATTTGCAGCAGCAGAAACAGTGCTTGGTACAAAGAGGCTTGATCAATCTTATTGGCTAAATGAATCTGTATTGTCTTATTTTTATTCATCTTTGTGTCTAGCATGGTGCAAGAGCTCAATAAATAATTGTGGAAGTGATGTAGACATAACAGTATTTTATAAACTGGCCTAAGAATCCGAGGTGTCCTCCAACTGTGGAATTCTGCTTACACAGGAGAACTGATCAACTCTGCAGGAATCGAGACTAGGTTTCAAAACACGACCTCAACATCAATTCACCAAGTAATACAAGAAAGCAGTCGTGAACCCATGCAGGGACAGAGTCTGGAGGACGTTCTCATTTCTCTTAGGCTGAAGAGACCCTGACAACCACACGAAAGGTGGTTGGGACTGGCTGAAATGCAGCTGTCCCTCCTACAACCTTCAGCTTGACGTCTGACTCCAACCACAACGCCGAGCCCCGTTTTACCAGTGCAAGAGCAGCCAGCCCATTCTCCCTAACCCCTGGTAACTCAGCATCTTTGCCAGTTATCTATGGAGTCCTCCCCTGCTACTCACACTGTCCCAGGTGCTGGCATCACCTACCCCACACATGTCAAAACCCTTACAATTTTCTCCCTCTCAACTGCGTGCACCCTCGTCCAAGACACCAGCATTCTCCCCGGACTTCTGTAACAGCCTCCAAACCGGTCTCGGTTTCTGCTGCGGCCAGCCTCTAGTCTGTTCTGCACACAGTCAGCGCGAACCCCCGGTGCAATCCCTCCTAACACGTGAAAGTGCACCGTGCCTCTGCTCCTACAGTGGAAGCCAAAGACTCGTCGCGGCCACCAGGCTGTGTCTGGTCCCTGCACACTGCTCTAGCTTCCCCGAAACTTTCTTTTGCTTCAGACTCATGGGTCTTTCAGTACCCAAGGGCTTTCCGGCCTGACACCCTCTGCAGGGGGAGGCTCTGCTCGGCCATGTGCTTCCTCGGGTCACCCCCTAGATCTTCGCTTTCCCTGTTCCGCGTTGTCGCAGGTCACGGCAAGTCTCGTGACGGCTCCTGACAAGGTCTGCGGGCTCAGCACCACACCCTCAGGGCCCCGGGCAGTACTTCTGCAGGAGGCGGTGAGCTGCCCAGCTATCCCGGGGGAGAGGGGGTTCCGGCCCACCACAGCCCCGGTACGGCAGGCGCGGGTCCGGGAACCGGCTCCACGTAACGTCCCTCGGTCGGAGCATCGGAAAGGTTTAAAGCTGCCCGGGCCTTCGCTCCCACGCCCGAG